GATACTGGGAAGGTGGCTCAACATTTCTTGGGTTCACTTGCTACTATTGAAGGGAAAAGTGTGTGTGCGTGTGTATGTGTTAGTAATTTAAAATTTGAAAATATTTGCTTATTAGTTTTCAGACTACTTAGCAATAATTATTTTCATCAATGAGTTTTCATATAAGCTGTCTCTTATTATGCAGTGGGGTTTCAAAAAAGAATGTGCCCGGTTCCGCAAAAAAAAAAAAAAAAAATTAAAAAAGAATGTGAAATATGTTACCTTATTGCTGAGCTCTGTGAGACTGAATCAAGGTTTTTAATTTTATAAGTAGTGATAACAGTAAAGATTCCAGTTAAGGATTTTACAGGAAAAGTTACTCTGTAACTTGAAGTCTTATTGCTAAAAAAATAAGCTTTGAACCTAAATGCTTCTTCATTATAGTAAACTTGGGCACAGTAAATTTTTATCTTGGTCTTTTTTTTTTATATTTGATATAGGGTCTACAAGGTTCTCTGCACAGATCAGACTACACAGATCTGACTCATAGTGATCCTCCTGTTTTCAGCCTTATGGGTGCACTATCGTACCCAGTCTCAGCGAGCCTCAGGGCAGGGCAGGCAAGACAGGTCCTTTAGTCTGCTGAGCTATCTGGCCCACCTTATTTTGGTCTTTTAGGACAGGGTCTTGCTATGCAGCCCAGGCTGGCCTTGAGCTCACTTTGTAACCCCACTGGTCTTGAACTTTCAAGGATCCTCCTGTCCTCAGCCTCCCTCCCAAGTGCTGGGATTATAGGCATGCACCACCATGCCTGGCTTTTTTGAGCACAGTAAATTGATATTGTTAGTTATGTTGGTCTTTGATTCTGTCTGTTTCATATATCTTTCCTCCCCACACAATAGAATGCAATTCAGTCTCTTACATCATAAAAATTTGGTACTTTTCATACTTTGTGATGAGGGTTTGTTTTGTTTTTTTTCTTTTTTTTGGCTGCCTCAGGATGCCTTGAGGGCAGGTCTGGAAAAGCATGAGGATCTGGGGATTGAACCACAATATCCTGAGCCTGACTGCCTTTGCTTAAGCAGGCACTTAAACAACTGAGCTAATGGGCAGGCCCCATACTTTGTGACAAATGCATATAGTGTCATGTGCCATTACACTGTAAGTCTAAATGTATTATTATATTTAATGTGTCCTTACATTTTCCCTTTTTTCTAGAAATACATTTAGAACCTAAGAGTCACTTTTTCATGAAAAAAAATTCACTGCGCCAGGAGTCAAGCATAACCACGTCTTCACTCTCTTGGTGCTGTGTGAGTCATCCTCCCTCCCTGGGTCTCAGTTTCCTCATCTGTAAAAGAAGATAAAATTTTTTTCCTGTCTGAAGGTAAGTGCTCAGTTAATAACTGCTTTCAGTAACAAACCAAAACGACTGC